TGGGTTTGTATAATACAATCTGATAGCTATATAGATTGTAAATTAAGAATATAGATTTTGGCAAGCCTTGTGAAAAAGGAATAATCTTGCTATCTCTTAATGGTGCAATTCCAAATAATAATTTTGGTTAGACAGGCATGCTTCTACCATTTCTTGTTCAGCTTCAGTTCTGATCTCAGCAATCCAGGTCCCTGGGAACAATGCAAAGGTAGTAAAGTTCAACATTTTATTCTTAATCAGTGCTCTTTGGGAAGATTTTTCAATAAATGAACAATTACTTAATAGGCAGCTGTTAAATTATACAATGAAGAATGAATTCTGCATGGCAGGTTTGAAACGGAGCTCTACGCTCTTCGGGTTCCTTTAGAAATTTCCTTTCCTCATCAGATAAACTTGCATCATGTTAAATACAAAAGCAGTGAGAAATAGAAACATCTAGCACATGGGAAGCACTACACATCAAAAGTATTTGTGTCCGAAAGCCCAGCTTCACAGGGAAAATTACCCAACTTGCTTTTCAAATCCAGAAAAAAGAGATGCTACCTCAGGAACCAGGCTGACTGCTGTGGGCTGGTTCTTTCGTCATAGTATACTGCTGTTGGCAGGCAACATGAAATTTTCCAGAAGACAATATTGTAGAGAGCTAAATAGGATCCTGGAGAAGACCCCGGTTCTTATATATAATTATATATTAATATATATATATAATTAAATTGTATATATAATACAAAATGATATCTGAAACTTGTGTCAAATACTCTCTTTTATTTCCTGTAAAGGAATCCCTGAAGAGAGGAGATATGACAGCCCTGACAATTGCTATGATGAGTGATCCCTTCAGACTATTATGTTCCTAAGATATAAAAGTTAACTGTGTAGCATAAAGCCTTTTCCACAAGAGAAAAGATAGAGATCTCCAAGTATCAGGCAGGAAAAAGTCTTGAACTATAACAACAAAAAAAATGAAGGAGGGGGAATGGAAAAAGAAAGTAGAAAATTTTTGATTCCCTAGTGCTTTAAGGGTTATTCTGGGTATCACCAACACTTTCTGAGATGGTGCTTTTGTTCTGTTCAGGCTATATCTAGCAACAAAAAGTGCTTTAAAAGGTTTCATTAAAGAAATCAGCCTGAAAACAGTTGCTTATTACAAGTGAGAAGCAGGCACCACTGCCTGAGAGAGAAAGCTGAAGACAGTTCCAGTATGTTCAGAGGCAGTCCAAAGCAATATATATATATATATGGACCCTCTTACTGATGCTGTCATTATAAAAGAAAAATTTAATAGGAAAAAAAAAAAAGTTTATGGAAATCCAACTGTTAGCCAAAGTATTCTTAAATATGGTTCTCATTAGCAAGGTGTTACCACAGCTTTCCGACTAGTAGCTGCTATTCCTTTGGGTAATATTAACTGTTGTAATCAGAGACTGTTAACTGTTACCGAGATTAAATAGCTTGTCATTCAGATTTATGTAATCAGGAAAGGGAATAAGGATGAATTCCCTTCTGGCACTCATGGGTCAAATCTTTATTGTAGCTTAGCTAGTATAATGGGCTTGAACCTTGTAATAAGCCTGAAAAAAAGCGAGATAACGTAATATATCTTCTGCAGCTCTGGTCAGGTCAGCTTCTTCACTGTTTCTATTAAGCAAAGCAATGAGCCTACCCACGTTATTTTGCAAGAATTACCCCTTAGCAGAAGCAGTGCTAGGAAACAACTAAACAGACTAAAATCCCTCAGCCAGAAAGCCTCCTCAATTATCATCCTCAGCGTTACTCGGAAGGCTACCATGCCATAAAACTTACCCTAATTCAGCAGCAAACCTCAGGACCCACATTATTTGTAGAAAAGATGACTGGGGTTATAACGCTAGATCAGCTGCATGAATATTAATAGTGCTGAGAGCCGTAAGAGCGATGGTTCTCAGACTTTGCAGACTTGTTCAGCATTGTGCTTATCAGGCCTCCCTGGAGCATGCCTAAGTGATGCAAAACTGAAAACCGTTGCCAGAGCTGAGGAAGAGTTCATAGCAGTCTCTGTTGCTGCAGGCACTGCAAGTGTCTAGCTTTAGCTGCAGAATTTGGGGGGGCTGGTGTTGAGAAAACGAGCAGCATGCTCGGGCGCAGCATGCGGCCAGGTGCACCCCAGCAGGGCTGAAGCCCAGGCTCCCAGGAAGAACCCCTTCACTGGCCATGTTAGTGATGCTACTTGCGAAATCCTGGTGCACCCTAGCTACTGCTGCTAGACAGGGTGTGGCCTGCTGGGGGGTTGTTACTGCCACTGCCAGTAAAAAAGCCGTCATTTTACAGCCTTGTCTGCCCAGAGAGACCTTCTGAAAGGGTATAAACAAGCACTGGGGCTTGGCTTTTCACTCTAGAATTGATGAGTAGTCATAAAAAACGCAATGCTTTGAAATCTCAGGTTGTGCTTGGGGTCTCTTTAGAAAATCAGGGATTCCCTGGTTTTGCCCTCTGACTTGGCACCAGCTTCAGAAATGCCGGGTGGGCTTTCCCCCATGTGACTGCAGAATATGGAGCACCAAGTGTGGTAGCCTCCTGCCACCCTGAGCGTGACACCAGCCTCAGTGAAAGCCAGAGCAGAAATAACCCCTTCTCAGAAGGTTTTCTCCAAAGCACAGCCAGCTCACTGCTCCTTTCTTCCCGCAGCGAGGTGCTGTATGGTGTCTTGGTGTTTCTGGGGTCTGGCACGCTGAGGCCAGCCTGAGAACAAGTGGCCAAGGAAGCAGGAACCTCCCAAACCCTGCCTGCCACCACACCTAGTGCAGGGGGAAGTTGTGTTGCAGATAGTCTACCAAAGGCTTCAGTTCTTCCTGTTGAATCATTGCTAAAGCAAAAATAGAGGCTCTTGAACAGTTGGCAGCAGTCGCGCTGACCTTGACAGGGCTAAGACTTCATCCATTCAAATTAAAGGGTAATCCAATATTTCTTGTGGTGTCGTCCCACTGCTGCCATAAAGCTGAACATGACCGGGTCTAATGCAAAGATGAAAGACCACATACTTCTCAACTTTTGCTTTCCAGTGGAGAGGAAGGTGTCAAACCTGGTTCATTTTCTCCTGCTGTCACTTGGATTTTAAGCACTGCTGATTGCCACGTGCACTTGATATTCAGGGCTGAGTCTCTGAGCACAGGGGAGGTCTGTGCCATGAAATTCAAATCCGTTCCATATAATTTGGATCTGAGTTTTAGTTTCAGCTCTGCTTTTCTTTCAGAGTGCATATTGCACACATAGAGTTAGTGCTTTATGTTGTTCTGCTTTCAGGGAAGTCGTTGAATTTCTTTGGAAAAATGCTGAATTGCATATTTATTTAAGAAATCTGTCATCCTTTTGCTTATTTCTGAAATCTGTAACTATAGTTCCTAAAAGTTTATCTATATCAACAGAAAACAAAGCACTCACTTCCTTCATCTTATTTTTCTATATAGTAAAATTCAGCAGTCCATCCATGTGCATAACACACTGAGGATTAAAAAGAATTTCATCAAACTGGCTGCAGAGCTCAGCTTTGGCATGCACTAGAAAAAAATTCATTTGAATTGTTACAGTAAAAACAGTCCCCTTTTAAAATCCTGTTGCATAAGAAAAACTTGTATAAAATTTACAGAATAAACATGAATTTCTAAGTGATTGCCTTAAGTTTGTAGCCAGATAATTAAATCTGATGCTTTATAACAACTACAGGAACCAAAGAGGAATATTTTTTGCTATACACCCATGGAAACTAGAATTAATGTAGGAGGTTGTGCTCTTCAGAGCAGTAGGTACCAGTCATGGGCAGTGTCAAGACACTTAACGTGATGAAAAAAATGCTTAATGACATATTTTCCTGCTTTTTTTTGTTGTTGTTGTTGTTATATGCCAGATGCCTAATCAAGGCTTTATCTTTATTGACATCAAAGCCTGCCTTCAAACTGCCCTTCACCTGAGTGAAATAGCAGCCACCTGCACTGGCAGTATTTATATATCAGCCCTTGGCAGTATCTTAACTTAGCCTTGGGAGTGTGTTGGGTCTCACTGGGAGCAAAGGTGTCCTGTGATTTACTTTGGTATTGGCTTCTTAAGCTGCAGACTTAAGGAATAGTGTTGCAATTTTGTGTTTCTGGCTCCTTGTGCTTGGTGACTTGGGGTAAGCATGAAGAGAAAATGGAGGCTGATCACTTGAGGGCTCCTACAGAGGAAACCAGCAGTGGGGTGCTGGTGCCTGTGGCTATAAGGTAACACGGTGTTGGGCTGATCAGAGCCAAAGTAGAGGCTTTACATGAAGCTGTAAACACTTGTATCAAATACAAAAGTTGTGTCTGTTGATCTTTTGTGGTGCTAGACAAATGACATCCTGTGGAGACTGCTCTTGGTAAGTGCTACATTAGGTAGTAGTCATTTCATGTCAATGTTGACAAATGTGGTAAAGGTATTGAGGAGGCCCAGTGGCTTGAGCTTTGACACCCCCAGGCTGTTTTGCTCCCCTCTAATGAAACTTTCTGTCATGTGATTGATGGAAGTAAAAAGCAATATACTGCTTTGTTAGTCTCTTCTGAATCTCTATCTAAATTTATTTCAGCAGCTTTGTCAACTTGGAGACTCTCATTTTGGTGCTTAACTGGAATAACCTCAGAAGCAGTTCATCATTAAAAGACAACTATGGCCACACATGGCAAGGCTGTGGTGGGTCTTCACCAATTTCTCTGGAGCAAAAATATAACTATTATTAAGACAATCTGGAATAGTCCAACAGAAATACATAGGAATACAAAGCAGCTTGTTTTTTTTAATAAATTTAATTCAAAGCACTTCTGTAATTTGGAGAGATTAACTTCTTGCCTATATTTTAATTTAATGATCAGAATAACATATTGATATACTACATGTCTCTGTACATCTGCTTTCATGAACTGAATAATCTCCAAGTCACCAACTAGAAAACTAGCACTTACTGACAAGAATGGATTAGTGGGGCCATGGGTAAAAAGAGAAACAGTAGGCACTAAAAACTACTATAAACCTTTATTAGAAAAAGTTGGTTTAAATCTGATACTTTTAAATACATCTAAGTGATATTATGACTTTGAAATATTTACATCACAAAATCATTCAAACAGCTCTTTGGCAAAACAATTGCACATGTAGCAATTTCATACACAAAAAGTAAACAATAGCTTTTCATAGCCTTCCATTGGTTTTAGCACTGAAAATACTAACTCTTTTGATCTCATAAATCAGATACCTGGGAATGCATGACTTATGACTACCTAGAAACCAAAAGCAACATTCTTTTTGTGGTGTTAATGGAAGGTTACATGTTTGAGTGCAGGTCTGTTGTGCTATTAACTGCTGGTGATACCAGTAACTCTGTATTTGTATTTTTATGGAGGTGTTATTTCTACGTTGCTGAAAACCTTCCTCAAGGTATTGATTTCATCACATCTAGGAGGATGCTAGTTCTCAATTACCCTCCTTATCTATATGGTTCTCAATAGAGACTTCTTTTGGGTCTGTAGCCTTCTGTTTTCTATAGAACAAAAATTGCTTACTCTAAATTAGATATCTAATTGTCCTGAAAAATGTTGGTAACAACTGCTCAAGTACTTGAGGAAAATAAGGGAAGAGGTAACAGTTCTTCAGGGATCATCACGTTTGCTGAACATTTTAGAGTAGCACGTAGTGCAAGTGACTTCCTATTTGTGTGTTTTTCCTTAGTTTCTACAGAGGAGAAGTAACTTGAGCTATCAGTTGGTGGCAAAAAAAATAGTGGGATGGATTGGTTTAGGCCAGGCAGATGATTAGGATGTAACAGCAGAGGCATAACCTGTATAGTCCATGGCAATATTAAAATAATCCACAATACTATCTGCTGCCTGGTTGTTCTGTTCTTTGTTTTGTAGGCTAGAGGGCCTGACTGTGTGAATAATTTAGGGAAAAATTAATGTGAACAAAGAGAAGGTATAATGTTAGTACATGTAAACTAGAGTATTTTAACCCTTTGGCTGTACCAGTGCGGGACAAAAATGGTCTAAATCCCCTGTAATTTAGTTGACCTACAAGATTAATATAGAGATCACCAGTGTACGTGAAAGAAAATGAGCAGGAACAGATGAAAAGTATAAAACAGACTGAAGTGCAATGGGCAGGTTAGTATCAGGAGAGGGGATTATTGGATGGGAGTGAGGAAGAGAGGAATCAGGGCTGTGACCATGCTGAAGCTTCATCCGTAACTGCTGGGGTCTGCAGAGATGCTTGGCTGTAACCTGGATGGATTCTGAGTAATGGCCTTAGAAAATGCTGAAGTCGACATAGAAATGAAAATAAAAGAGAGATACTAGAGGGGTGAAATGGGCAGCCTGGAGAGGCAGTGGGGTTATCACATCAGTCTCCAGAGGAGTCTGTTGTTAACACTAGGAGATCAGAGGGAAAGAACAAAAAAGCCATAAAAGCCTCTGTTAAGGGAAAATAGAAATACTAAAAATCATATTTGCAGAGTACTCAGGGACCTATTAGAAGTATCTACGACTATCCTGCAATACAAATTATTCAACACCTGGTCTCTTTTGCATCAGGAGGGCAGGATTTAATGAAGTCTTAACTTTTCAGTAATTACTTGGCAACTTTTAGATTAGATCTGCTGCCTTAAAAAATGGCAGATAACTTGTATCCAGAACTGGCTACAGAAGTGTCCAAGCCCTTATTTTTTCAGAACTTTCTAACCTTTTCAAAATGAAGAAGGAAATACATGTCCTGATGTAAATTTTTAGAAAGGATAAATGTCATAATATTTTTTTATTGAGCTCTCACCTCAAGATCAATTCTGGGCAAAAATGATTCTAAAGCTTGAGGTAGAAATTGCTAATGATGAACTTCAGAGTAAGGGTTAACGCTTATTAACATAAGTTTACAGAAAATGTGTTCCCTCCAGTTTTACTTAAATCTTTCAGGGAAACCAAATGTTAAAGAAAATTACTTGAAACTGTGCAGCATTCTGACCATTTGGGGATTAATAGTAAGTCAAAACCAACAGGATATATGCCTGACAGTCTGTTTTCAAGTACTGTCTCCATGCATTGTGGTTCATTATTCACTGTCCTATATCCATGGCTAGGACAGGGTGAAGGATCATCATGTCATGGTTTTGTTACTCCACAGAATGCCATTTTGAAGGGTTGGTAAGTTTTTAAGTCAACCAAAAAAACAACACAGCAAGAAGTACAGACCCTGGTTCTTTGTCTGACCTGGGCTTCAGCTGGCTTCTTGGAGAAGGCAGCACCTGCTGGATATGGGGTGGTGTGGGCTGGAGTAGGACAAGAGGTGCCATGGGATGCTGCTGTTGTGTGTATGGCATGCAGTGGTTTGCAACCAGTAATGAATAATGGTCTCAAAGCACATGTTTTTCCTCATGAAAAACTACAGAAAACATTCTTTTGAACATCCTCAGATTATTGCTTTGCAAACTGTAGGAAGCCTTAGCGTAGCTACTTAGTTCCATTGGGAAGAAACTGCTAACAAAGCTGCTCCTGGAAAATATCCGCTTCCATTTTTTTTTTTACTTGCCTTAATTTGTCTTCCCCCTTTTCCCCTGTGATTGTATTATTGTAAATCAGTGTTCTAGAGAGTGATTTTCCTGTCAGGAGCTTGTGAAAATGTTTGAAAAAAATGTTTTACATTTATCTCTTACAACATTTTTTTCAAAGTTAAAAATCATCCAAGCAAGGAAAATTAATTTAGCATCACCCATATTAAATCCAGTATATGTAATAAATTGTCTTGGAACAATGAGGAAATATTTACTCTTTGAGGAAATTACTAGTCAATTCATATTCAGTGATGAATACATTCAGGAAAATGGTTAGCTGTAAACACTTTGCTGTTTGACACATTCTCAATTAGTCACAATGTTGACCCCTCCTCTGTATCTGTCAGATGTTAGCGAGCATTAATTGTCATCCTAGGGCTCTGGGGGTTTTGTTCACTTGCTCTCTTTAACCGAGCTAGGCACGAACATTATATTAATGAAATACTTGCAAGCAGAAGAAAACTGAGCAGAATGAACAGCTGTGGAGCAGGAAGCTTCTCATTTAAATCGAACATGAGGACAGGTAGGATGTGATATGGAAGGATCTAAGGTACCATGACATGCAAGTTTTCAATACAGTGGAGGGGAAGCTTTGCACAGACGTATCCAGTTTTGTATGTTGCGTACTTAAACCACATCAGTAAGACATACCACCCAAAATCCATGGCAGTAATACAGCGTTTGTGCTTCCAACTTGAGGTATCTCAGGAGTCTGACTTTCCAGTGTCACTGAAGGAGAGCAGGCATGTTGAGAAGCCTTTCTATGTCTTTGAGATATTCCAAGCTCAGTCTTCAAAACCTGAAGCTGTAATCTTCTTGCAGCAGAAGTCCTTGACCAAGTGGTTAGGAATAATGCATGCTTATTTACCAGGCGTGTTTGGTGTGAGCACTGAATTGTTGAGTCTCCCAGCCCATTTTGATGAGGAGAAGCATTTTCAAGCTGAGCATGCCTGAAGCAGGTTGCTGTTGGTGAGCAGTGCTGCACAGGAAGAAGTGCTGGGTGGTGAGATCTAGCACAGTGCTGGGCTGTGGAGTGGGTTAACTCAAAGGCAATATTGAAAAAATATTTTTAATTTCTATGGTGTCTTTAATTTGAAAAACAAAATGCTTGCTAGGAGGATTGTGCCCTTGCTGGGTTGTAGGCTGCCTCCTGGCAAATCCTTTGGGAGAGCTTCAGCTGCTATCTGTCCTCACAGCTGTCTGTTAGTCCTAGTCTTTCACTGCCCTAAGCAGAGGTCTTGTGCAAATCAGTGCACCATTACCAAAAAACAAATTGAAAGTAAACATGACATCGATATGAGCTCAACAGTCTGATTCAAACACTAAACCAGTGCAATACAGAATTGTGGGTGCTGTTTAAATCAAAAAGAATGAATAAACAGCCCACCGAATTCAGCACGTACATGCTCTTAGCTGTTGCACTATGAAGAGAAGGAGAGCGACGCAGAAACATGGACAGCTCTTTTGTGGGGTGGAGAAAATGTTTCTCTTGACTGGTCACTACAGAAGGAATTTAAGTCAACCTCCTAGTCCTACTATAGCACTTTTTTCTTTTTTTTTCCTCTTGATGTTTCTTTTCTGAAGATTGTAAGTAGCAGGGCACAACAAAAGCATTTGCTCCTCCAGCTTTTTGAGATGAATCATGTTTAAATCCAGTTCATCCGGGATCTGGGGTCTGTCAGCTCGTGTGCTGCTTCCCTTTAAGCAGTTCTCTGCTGCCGTGACTTCATGATTCACCATCACTGGGTGTACATGGAAGAGAAAGAAACACCGGTGTCAGGCTGCTTGTTCGCTTGTCTCTCGGCAGAAAAAAATACGCAATAGTGTCTGTTCAGCCCATGAGAAGGTGTGAACAGAAAACCAATGTCAGCCATGCAGTACACCAGATGAGCCCATCTGTGGTGCTACAGCTTGCGAGCAAGGGATGATCCCACTTTTCTGTTGGCTGGAGGCTATCCAGCACGAGCTTTCTCCTGGTCCTAGACAAGGACTGAGGAATAAAATCCCCTCTTTCCACATCTGAGGATAACATTTTACGTGGTTTTCTTATATACATATATATATATTAAACCTAGACTTATAATAGATTAATTTTCTTTTTGCCCCTCTGATTTCTGCCTAGATAGCTTGCTCCCTAGCACTTTCTTAATGTTTAGTTCACACAGACATGAAAAATGAGACTTCTGTTATCAGCTGGATGGATTTCCATCAGCACTAACAGCAGGGTTAAAAGCCACTGCTGAAGTTTAAAGTGCAGTCTGGGCAGAGAGCATTTCTTTCTGTAATGATTTGTTCTCCACCCAGACAATCCCTCTGTAGAAAAGACCCACCTTTTTTCTGGACAGAAAAAGCAGGAGGGCACCCAGAGGGTGTGATAAGGCAGGGGGTGCCTTGCTTTGCCCATCTCAGTACCCTACAGAGGCAGGTGCTGTGCCTCTCCTTGCTGGGGGAGGAAAAATTTCCCCAGAGAAGAGATTTGTCGTGTGCCTTCACCTCACATGCTGTCCTGTTCCTGTGTGCACAGGAATCCTGGTTGGGATTTTAGCACTAGGTTTCACATGCAAGACATTGATGATATATATTTATAAAAGATCATATACATGCAAAATGTATCTGTATACACAGATGTGTTTTATTTAGTGAGCTTGGTGCAGATGAGCACCACCTCTGAGGGAGCTAGGGCTGTTGCACTTTGCCTCTGATGCACAACTCCATAGCCTTGATGCCTGTAAGAGTTTTAGCCAGAATAACAGCTTTCTTTTCTCTTGTTTCATACTTTTTCACTTTTTGTTTTTCTCAAAATTGGTGCTGAAATGTGTTTATCGGCATGTATTTCTTTTCAGTACTCAGTGAAGAGTTTGGTTGGGGAAAAAGTCCTCTTTGGTTTGACAAGGTTTGATCACAGAAATGAACGGGCATCAGTTTGCCAGAAAATGGCACCATTTCAAATATACTTCCACTTTGAAATGAAGCACATTCCAACATTTTGTGTAAAGTGAACTTTGAAAAAGTAGTTTTAAGATAAAGCATTAACTTACCAGTATTTCAGCACCATATTGGTCTTTTCTTAAAACCTTTTTAAAATTTTATATTAACAAGTCACTTACTCTGCAAAGTAGTTTTGGAAAAACTTTCATTCTGAAAATGCCATTATTGTGACAGTTTGCCTCAGATGTTTTCAAAATGCTATCTTGAAATGCTACCTTATCTAAACTAGTTCATAGCTGAAAGCATTTAAGTCTTAATTGAACCCTCCAGCAACTTGTATGAAGGAGGAAAATAACACTCAGCCACTTGTGTTCAGTGAGGCACTGAGATGTTTCCCGTACTGAACAAAAATAATATCTTAACTCTTTTTGTAACATAATTTGAGAACAATTTTTCCTAAAGTAAGCAGTCTTCCAGTAATAATCTTGCCCTTTGTATTCAGATAATGTCCTTTGTCTGAGCAGTTCTGAATGCTGGAAAGAGAAATCTCATCTTCCTACATGGCCTTGTTTGCCTTCCTACCCTTCAGAGGCATCACAGCTGGTCCTAGGACACCAGCTATAAGAAAATAAGTTTTACTGACGTGTGTACCTTCACTCAGACTGAAACACCCTGATCTGAACAGGACTGCCATTAGGAGTCAAGGCTTACGCCTGGCTGCAGTGCTTCAAAGTGGTGATATCTCCATCTTACAGGTGGGGCACCTATGGGAATACATAGCCCAAAGGCACTTGTAGCCAGCTGGGAGCTAAATCCCCACTGCTTGATGGGGTTAATGGCAATAGAGCACAGAACCACTTTAATGAGGACCGTATTTAAAACACCTGCTGAAGTTGGTAGTCCATGGTGTTTTTTCTCAAAATGACTGTTTCTGGTCTGGAAAGGAACTTGGCTGAGGATGTCGTTGTGCCCCAAAAGCCTCTTACTCCCCAGCTGCTTGCAAGCTGACAAGCTGTCTGGATGGCTGTTCTGCATCCCTCCTGGCCCCTGAGCTGGCTGCGGGGCAGTGCTGAGAAAATCCTTTGGGAAGCTGCTCTGGGTGCTGGTGTTAATGGTTCAGGAAGCTGTGATTAAAGGCTGACCAGTGAGGAAAACTCGGTCTGTGCAATGTGGTCATCTGTCTCACACTGGCTTGCCACTGCAAGGTTAGTTAGGGGTGTGATTTATGGGCAGTGACTGGCTTAAAATTAAAGGAGTATCAAAACGTTTGAGTTGGAATCAGTCCTCACACACAAGAACTTTAAAACCTAAATAGGCCCCAGAATCAGTCTTTTATAATTATGTATATAAAAAATGAGACTGTTTTGGAATGACTGACATTGACCATGTTTCTTCAAATAACATAATGAATTAAAAGTACCTCGGGTTGGCCATTGATTCTTTTTCTTCTTCTCTTACAGTAGGCAAACATTCACAATCAGCTGAAACAGGATGAGAAACAAGGTGATAGTTACTCTTGGCAGTTACTCTGCTTTATTTCAAAATCACATCAAACTTCTTTTTGTGCAGCCACTCTAGTACATAAACCTGCTCTTCTGCATCATTTTATCTATTAAAATCTGCATGTTCCAAGCAGTGTAAATATTATGTGTTTGAAATCCTCCTTCCCTTTGATAGGTACTGTGGTAACTTCTTTGTTAGATACGTTTCAGTTGTTTGTGTACACATAGGCAAGCACACGACCTTTGAGGACTGTTTCCCACGAGCTACCTTGGGAGGATCATTTGTTAGCCCTCCACAGCTTACAGCTGCACCTATGCTTCATCATCCAGTGCTGAATTTAGGGGTGGGGTTTAGGGAACATTACTGAAAAAAACATAATGCAAAATTTTTGCTCCCTTCTGTCCACAGAAATTAAAAACTCAGTGTTTCCCTACATATTGTACTTGATGCCTTAATTTCATGACTGCCCCTTAGAACTTGTTTTCAGCTGGAGATTATAGACCGAGAAGGTCAAAACCCCGTCATCTGGAGAGTTTTGCTAATGGGAAGAGATGCTCCAAAGGGTTTTATGTCCTAAAAACCAAAACATCTCTAGGAGGTCAGACAGATGGGCTGTTTGAATGGAAGGCAAGGGACCAGGAATTTAAAAACAAGGTTTCAGCATTTCCAAGCCAGTGAGAAGCTGTTAGCATGGCTTGTTACATATTGGTTTGTGATCAGGTCCCAGCTAATTCACACAGAAGACCTGTGCTTGGGTAGGAGAACCTTGAAAGAGGATGCAGATCAGAGATTTTCAGCTGGGAGAAAACTAGGGAAAAATAGAAGATGCTTGAAAAAGAAATAGCTAAGAGGGAGTTGAAGATGCTTCTGGGGGTAGGCACAGCGGGTACCAAGTGCTGGCAGACTCAGTGGGGAGGATGTAGTCAGGGATCAGCAGCAAAGAGCAGCTTGTGCTTCATGCAGCAGAGATCACAAGTTAAGGAAAGGAAACAACAAGAGGAGGGGGGCAGTGATAAGATCTTGGCAGCGATTTTACGTAAACAGTGGTCTGAGCTACGAGTAAATACTTGTTTCTTCTACAACAGCACAATGCGAACCACAGAACTGTAGAAACTCTCGACTGAAAGGACTGGATTCTTCATAGAAACTAGGATCGTGCATTTAAAAATATAAATTCTGTTCACAGCTATACTTGTTTTTAACAAGTGCCTACTGGAAACTCAAAACATTTATGATATTCCCTCATATGTTAAAAATAAGCTCCCACACAAACTAAAATACTCCTCTGAACAATCCTACCCCTGACATTCGTGCTGCTATTTCTGTAGTAAAGAGTAAAGAACACAACTAAAAATGTTTTAGGAAAATCAGTGACACAAATACAAAATGCCTTACATTGGTTTTCTACGCGTGGGATCTACGTCAGCTAGAAAGAGAGGGATGATGGAGTAGAGGGGTTACCGTGTACCATTTTTGTTCATGCTGTTCATCCACTTATCAAGCTCTTCCATTTCTATCTCCATAACAGAGGGGGTGTCTTCTTCAAAAATAGGACTTGAGAAAAAGACATTACACAAAGGCTTAAATCAGAAAACATTTAAGGCAGTAGTTGTGCATGATTCCCTCATAATTCCAGGCATTTGTGGCTGCTCTGGAAAGCTGCCCCAGACTAGACACTTAAAAAGGCATCGTCATAGCTATCCGAACTCTGTATGTATTTGAATATCGCCATTTATTCTTCTCTTTACCAATTGTTTCTGTAGTCACACGATAGAAAAATTGTTTTTAGCACCCCCCCCCCCCCCCCCCCCCAAAACTAATTTAATATCGTTTCTCGTGATTATTGGCAAGATGGAGCTCAATAGAAGTTATCACTGGGGGAAGAGCTGCGCAGGTCTCAGCAGGTTCCTGCAGCAGCCAGAGGATTACTTCCAGGGCAGCTGCCTCACATAGGGCAACCTTGAAAGATGGGGAAGCTGGACACGAAGCTTGTTCTGAACAGCAAGAGGCTGTGGTGAGCCCAGGGACCGACCTCTGCTCGTGGCATGGCCATATCTCGTGGTGGCTGGCGGGGCCAGGGGCAGATGCTGCATGGGTCCCTGTGGGGCAGCTCTCGCCCGCCCTATCCCGCTGCCTCTCCTCTGCCTGTTGCCTGAAAGATACACCCCGAAGTTGCACGTTAGCCACCTCTAGAGGGTGTTCACTGCAACGATTAGTGGAAAATTTAGCAGTGTTTGGTGCGTGCTTAAATGAAACCAGACAGTGCAGGGGGCAAAAACCAGCAAGCCTGTTAGAGTAACAGAATTTAAAAAAAAAAAAAAAAAAGTGATATAAACTTTACCTTTTTACATTTTCACTTCCCAACTCATCTGGAAAAGAAAACAAAAGTTGCTGTTCACAGTTATGCTGTTTGTATATACACTCTCTATATTATGGGCAAATCCTGCACTAGGGTCACTTCAAACAGGTTCTGTTTTCACAGGGAGTAACCATCCACTTCTAGATGAAAGGCAGCACATCCCGCCCTGCTTGCCTGCCATTTCCAGAGCAGCCCGTTATGTTTAATCCTCGGCACACTAAATGAAGCTTGCCGTGAGCTCAGCCTGCCAGGGGTTGAGTGGATGTCAGTGCCACAGTGGGCAGGAAGGCACGGACAGCCAGTTCCCTGCCGGGGCAGGCGTAATGAGGAAAGTGGCATCCCAAGAAGGGGCCTCGGCTGTTACAAAAGCATTTACTGGAAGCAGGGGAGGTTTTGCTGCGGCCTGCACAAGGTCAGTCCACCTTTGCCGGGGGGCTCTCCTCATGGGGAGGAGAAGGGTAGAGGCTGGCGTGTGGCAGCTTAAATCCCAGTTAAGCAAATGAGCCAGCCCGATGCCAAAAGGGGTACAGGGCTAGCTACAACCCCAAGACAAAATGAAGATAGGAAAAAAAAAAAAAAAAAGCAGTGTAACAGCCATTATTCAGACAAGCAACTTCCCCTCCAGGGGTTCTTGAAGTGACTGAAAAGCCACGGCTCTCAAAAACTCTTGTTTTATTGTAGCTCCCAGCAGCCTCACCCTGTGGGGTGAGCACTAAAGTCACCTTGCATGGGATTACCAAGCACAAGGACAGCATGGCACAGCCACATCCCTCGTCCGTATGGGAACTGCGAGGAGCCAGAGCAGCAGCACCAGCTCTCACTGAGGGACTGCTGCGTGAGTCTCCTCACTCCTTTTCTGCTTGGGAGACATGGAGCTAAAACCAGAGATAAGCATCCTAAATGGGGCATCCCAGTCCTTGAAATAGCATTTTGTGAATGATATTCTAAAGATATCCTCCTGATGCACAAGAAGAGAAATTTACCTTGCTTAGACTTTTTCCTTTTATGGACTACTATAAAAGCTATAACCAGAAAAATCAGCAGGGCCAGCAGCACAGCGGGGACAGCATACACCAAGACAGATGGCTCCTCTGTCTCTAGGCTCTCGTTATTGCTCTTGTCATGCAGTTCAGTGGTTGGAATGCTTTCTGCTTCAGAGCTGCCTTCAGTAGGCCTTGTAGAGACCAGGACTGGCTGGGTGCTGCCCACGGTTGTAGAGGACGCAGGAGTCACAGCAGGAGAAGGTATCACTGTGGCGGTGGGTAATGTTGGTGATCCATAGCCAGAACCATCCTCGCTGTTTTCGGAGCCTGCCAAACATAGGAGGACAGCTTAACATTGTGTGGGTTTTACTGGTGTTATCAGACAGTCAAAGCATGCAGCTTTAGTATTCATCTTTCATTTGATGTTTAAAAAAAGACAGCAAACGCACACGTACACACGTGTGAAGTCTGGGCCACCAGATGCCAAATTAGATGTGGAGTTTGTCACAAACCCTTACTGTGGCAGGGCTCTTCAGCTGCCTTGCAAAGGGACATGTCAGCCCCTGTGGTCTGCCTGCCCGCAGCTGCCGTGTTTGCCCTGCAGGCTGACATCAGTTCTCGCGCTCTCCTGAAAGCCTTCTGCTGCCCTGCCGAGCACGCTGTCCCTCTCCATGCTCAGCCTGTGCCTGAGGAGACCCTGCTCCCAGGCTCACCAGCCCTTCCAGCTCACTCATCTCACCCTCCTCCAATTCTTTAACCCTGTCTGGCCATGCAGCAAGGAGGAACGGGTCTGAAAGGAAGCACGAAGCCTGCGGGCGCTGCTGACTTTCACTTCTGCATTGGCTGGAGGAGGTAGCAGCACAGGGACGATACCGGCTGCACACGCAGTTCACAGTGGTAAAGACACAACGCTGCTTCTTTGTCATAACTGTGAAGGTTGCGGGTTTTGAATCTGGATCTGGGTTTTGATTTCATTTAGCGTACATTTTGCAAGGCAATTGGCCAAAATTGGCTATATTGGTGATACTGAAACAAGACTGTTTGATGCCAATTAAAAGTCCTTGTTGACAGTCATGGAATTTAAAGCTTGATGGCAGCACAGCAAATTGCGGCCTGCCTTGTATTCCATGCTATTGCCAAAAACCCTGTGGTAGCCAGGGGCGTGGGAATCAGTCCCTCAATAAATTACACCTACAGGTTTCCAAATGCAAATTAACTGCTTGAAGTGAACTGGTGACTTTTTATATCACCTGCCCTTTCAGACAGGGCGCCGCTGTGGCGCAGCATTTATGCCGTAACACAGGACAGGACGGCATGACTTCTGCAGTGACATGGTGCTCCCTGCTCTCGTCAGGCGCTGGGCAGCCGCGGTTTCCACTCGAGCTAGCAAGAGCTTCAGGTTTTCAGCACCTCAGCACTGGCATTTCAAATCTCACAGGACTGGATCTGAAAGTACTTAGCATTTTAAATGCTTTAGTAAACACATTAATCTTCATAATGGCCCTGAGAGATGAGCAGTTATCATCTCCATTTTACAAATGAGGAATCAGAAGGACAGGAATCTGTCCTTCCCAGGGACACCGAGCAAGAGAGGAAAACTGGGGTGAGAGCGCTATCTCTTGCTTAACCCACTCTGCAGCACCTCCTCGCCACCCAGGTCTGCCTCAGGAAGGAGATGAGTATCTCACAAGACACGAACCCCAATTTCAAATGAATGCAATGCTTCGAGTGTGGCAGCAGTGATTTATCTGGATCTTTGTGCCACGTTTATCACACAGGCACCTGATTGTTTCACCCTCTCCTGAAAGCTAGGAAAGAATGTTAATGCTTCATAAATAATTTTAATACTCAGTAAATAATGCCTAATACTTTAATAAAATATTTGATACTGCAAAGGTCACCAGCCTCTTCCACTGCAATAAGACAACAAAAATGTTAGCTCTTCAATGGCAAAATGCTTCATGTCAGTAATGTCTGTCACTTTCTTCCCTGCCTAGTATTTCAGTGCCTTTACAGGCAGTGACCCCTTACATGTGCACTCCTCGACCCGCTCACGTGAGCTGCTGGCTGTCATTAATCCCAGCAAAGAGGATGGGAGGGAAAGCACCTCTCCATTATTATTTTTTGGCCATATATATTTGCACCGCAGTGCCACAGGACCATTCCTGTGACCTTGCTTCCTCTTTCTCCTCTAGCCATCCTCCTTGAAAGCCGTCAGCTGCCTTATTTGATATGTTTGCAATGACAAGCCAAGTGCTAAAAATAGCACAAAGGGTGTGGGGGAAATAGTTTATTTTCCATTTACTATTAGAGATAAAATGGATTTTCCAAATGTCTGAAGCATGATGTGACTCTAAAGCAAAAGCAAGCGGTCACATCTCATTAAATGCAGTATTAGGCTTTCAGCTACAGTGCACGTTGTGTTTGATATCCAAGAGAGACGTTTCCAATGTCTCTGTTACTTTTTATTTGCCTGTTTTTGAGCTGTAAAGCAGATTTCAAATCTGTTATCTCTGTGTGAAATAGAACTATATTTTCTAGTCTCCAGACAAAGAAAGTGGCAAATCACAAGGAGTGACCTTGTTGCCTTGTAATTTTGTTCGCTTTACATAATTCCGGGGCCAAAACACCACCTCTTCTTTGGGCAGTATTTCCTCTTACTAAGGCCTTTTCTTTGAGAGACTTGAATGTGTCTTTCAGCAGCCGGGCAGACAATTGCACAAGGCTCTTGCAAAGATATTGCTCCAATTTCCCGTGTTTCACCTGCTGCCTTGGCACATCCCCATGAGGTGAATGAAAGGTAGATGTTGCAAGGTTTGGAGCATGGTCAGAGAGTGCCTGAAAGCCGGAGGGTTTGTGGGATGTTATTCAGGCACTTTCTCCATGCTCGGAGAGAGACAGATCTGCTGATCTCTGTGTAGACACCTCCTCGACTTTGCAGAGCACTTCTTGCTGGGCTCAGCCTTGCGCTTTTGGCCAGGTTCTGACACCCGCACCCAGTGCCTTCTGCACGTCGTCTTGAGGGAAGCTGATGATGGCACAACACAGCTTTTTCCCAGCCCACATCACCACTTTTTGCCCTTGTAAGAAGGATGAGGGGCTGGCATGTGGCTGGGCCCCATCCTGACAGGGAGCTGGGCGCTGCATGAGCACCTGGTTGCAGCAAGAAGCTAAGGTGTTCCCACCGCCAAGAGGATCTGGGCACCAGGGGGCCTGAATGCTGGAGCAAGCAGCAGCAGTGGCTCAAAAAAGGTTCCACTACAGCTGGTATGAATGACAAAAGGGCTCTGTCCCTCTATGCAGATACTGTGGTATGAGGCATTATTCAGAATTTTCTCCTTATAAAATACACTCGAGTGACTGATGGGTTTTGCAGGTGCCTCCAAGCCTGCCTTTCAAGGGAAGCAAAGGGGGCTGAACATCCTGAGCAGCTTTGCAGGCCGGGATCAGCAGCTGTGCAGCAAACAAACAAACAAACAAGCAGCATTTCTGCTGTTGCTGCCCTTCTTCCCCTGCGGTTTGCGTTGCGGCACTCTGAGGGGTGATAGGAGCTGCTGGATGCAGCAAGCAGGCAAACAGGTTTCTGGCTTCGGCTGGATGGGAGGCAAAGGCAAATGGCACGCAGTCAGCACGTCGCGTTCTGCTGGCAAGGCCCTGGCCTCCCTCCTGGGCTCGCACTGAACTCAGACTGAGTCTCCGAAGGGAGCATTTCAGCTTGCACAACAGCTCCTACATGCCGAGCAGAAGGCTCGGGAGAAGGCGACAGAAGAAGCCGAGCCTCTGAGGCCGCGCAGAGTAGGCCGACATGCCTCCTCCCGGCCCTGCCGCGCACCACACACACTCCTACGGCTCCTCTCCGCCCTGGGGCTCGCCTCGGCGGCTGCCTGGCACACCCCTGCCTCTCGCCCTGCCAGCGGCGCCCATGGCGGAGGTGCCGTGCCCGCCGCGGTCGGCCGGGGCCTGCCCGGGCCGCGTGCTGCTGCAGGCCCCGCGGGCTGGCTGCCGGGCCCACGCGCCGCCCGACGGGCTGAGCCAGCGTCTCGGGGCGGCTCATCCGCAGAGAGGATCCTGTTAAAGAGGGGTGTTAGGGAGTGCTGTCTTAGTAGACAGCACTCCCTAACACCCCGAGCGGGGAGAGAGGGTTTGGGGTGCACTTCTTGGCCAAGGAAATAGCTTTCTCCTTGCTGCGCGCCCATTCCGCCCCAAGTGCTCTTTAAACAGCAGATGTGGTCCTGTGTTTACAGACAGACCGTGAGCCCACAGCCTCATCCGTCACCCGAGAGCTAAATATTTTCAAGACCGAATCATGTTGCTTTTTTTTTCTTCTATTTGACCCTGTGCCGTTCCAGCTCCACATCAGTGGTACCTGTGCAACTCTACCGTGTCCAGAAACTCATGGTGTAAACCTCTCAGTGCCCCCTGCTCTCAGCGGTACCCCAAAATTAAAAGTTCAGCAGCTCTCAAGGCTCGGCTGCAACCATAGAGGTCTCTCGAGGGACAACAGGCAGGAGTCGCTGACTGAAATTTAGCATAAAATCCTGCTGACGTAAAAGGGAGATTTTCTGAAATGCCCCTGAAGCACTTGAATAAATGCAGTAGAGGTTACTGTGTCTGGTTGGAAAGGAGGAGGAGTAGTAAATAAAAACAAAGATTTGTTTGGCAGAAAGGGTTCTCATCTGCTTTTAGGGGGCTGCACTTTGGAAAGAGAGAATGTATAGCAAATCCTCCTTTCTTCTTGTCTTGCTCTGTGTTAGAAGCTATAGGAAGGGCCTTAATATTTGCTTCTAGGCTTGGCACACACCAATGTAGGTGTTGTGCAAACCCCAAAGTCCCTTCCACCCAGAGCCAGTGCTGGGACCTCAGGCACGCTCAAAGAGCTGCCGCCCCAGAGTAATTGCAGTGCAGCTGGGACAAAACTGTCTGTTCATAATAATCCAAACGGCGAGGTGAGGATTTTACAAGGCTCCAGCAAGGTATGGGAACACGGTTTATAAAGGCTTCCATCTGCCTTTAGATCTGCTGCTAGATCTAATCTTACTCCTATCACCTACTTTTTTCAAAGCTCTTTCTAGACAGCAGAGGTGAGACCGTGGGGATCCCAGAGCTTCTGCCCCCTTTCCCAACACACTGCTCTGAGGGAGGTAACAGTGTCTGGGACTGGAGGATAAAAGAAGAAAGCTCCCCTAAAGCTCCTGTCCTGTTGATCTGTAAGCAAAAAGCAGTCAGCATGAAGGATGCACCTGGGAGGCCAGCCACAGCAAAGGTGCTCCTGGCCCACCTGCAGCCTATAGGAATCTCTGTAGAAAGTTTAACCCCTCCAGTTCAGC